TCAGCGACCACACAAAGAGGCCACAATGTTGGGGAGGACCCACAGTCTGCCTCCTGCCAAGACACTGGTAAATGCAGGGATAGTGAGGCTACTGAAGCTACGTTTACATAAAGATATATCATTTGAAGGGTTAGAGCAACCACAGGTTGGTTAATACAAAAAATATTAACAAGAAGAGGCAAGGAAATTGTTTTCTGCAGCACTGGCTTGGCCATGTTTTTCCAAAGACTTTCAAACAGGGGATCCATTGCAGACGGGTACCCCATGTGGATAAGGACTTTTTTATGTTTTATTTTAATCTGACGTTGTTCAGCCTGTACTTTGCTGTCACAGGCAGCACATAGCGGAAGACTGCACGTCACACTGGNCCTGCCACGACGCTCGATATGATTATACACAGCCAAATGAGCACTGGAGTCATTCACTTCAAAGAGAACACAACACACACACACACACACACACACACACACACGTGTGTGTGTGTGTGTGTGTGTGTGTGTTGTGTTCTCTTTGAAGTGAATGACTCCAGTGCTCATTTGGCTGTGTATAATCATATCGAGCGTCGTGGCAGGGGTTCCTATCGCCGACTGCTGTGTTCCGGGTCAGCGAGCGCTGTATACGAATCATTGATTTCGTTGTACAACAGCGAAAAAGACACAAGGCAAGGATTCGCCTCATCACGGACGATCCCAGTGAGGCGCCAACAAACACAGGGGAGGCCACCGTGAAGTGTCACAGCAGCCCAATTATGTTTTCGTAATAAGCCAGGCGATCCCCGCGGGACTTTGAGCGCTCGCTAATTCCACGGAAGTCGCCAATCCCCATCGAATTCCCGGCGTCATTCTCCTCTTCAAAATGTTGGGATGGGTAATGAGATGATTGATTGAAGAGAAGTGCTGCTCTGACAGAATACTGACACACACACACAGCTGGCTGCCTGTCAGAGGAGATGGCTGAATGATATATGAGCATCTTCGCTCAAAACAAAGCCAAATACGCCCTAGCTCGCAAGGTGTTACGTTAAACCTCGCTAATATCTGTGTTCACTCATTATCCGAGAACGTGAGGCAAATCCAAAAATCCTCAACAGTGAGGCTCTAGCTCTCAGGGAGCAGCAACACTCATCCCAAGTTAGGAATCATTTCATGCACTGTCAAATCGATGCTCCCAGATACCTTCAGTGATAAAACTCTGAAGGTCTTAATTTGCCGAAGAATGAACCACCTCAACATCGAATCACCATCAATTTCCTCCCTTATTCTAATGAATGCCGTGACTACAGTGCAGCAGAGTGATATTGAAATGCAATAATACTCCCACACATACAATCTCATTTTAAGTAGAGACACAGTCATTAGAGGGAGAAAACACAATAGAGCTGCACTCCATTAAAGGTTAGCACTGTAGAAAGAAGCTGTTGCATGATAATAAAAGATAGTGTGTTATAATTAAAGTCTGAAGTGATAAACAAAGTGTGCCCTCCTTGCAATGTAGTGTAACATCACCAAGGCTTCGTAAAACAAAGAACGGCACATTATAAGTTTCATAAATGAATTTCATGAAGAACTGTTGCCTTACTTTGTGTCCATCCCCTCTGTAACATGTTTTAAAGAGGTCACAGTAGAGACACTACATACTGATATACACCTGGACATCATCAGGAGAGGACTCTTTAAAGTAGAGACACTACATACTGATATACACCTGAACATCAGCAGGAGAGGACTCTTTAAAGTAGAGAAACTACATACTGATATACACCTGGACATCAGCAGGAGAGGACTCTTTAAAGTAGAGACACTACATATACACCTGAACATGAGCAGGAGAGGACTCTTTAAAGTAGAGACACTACATACTGCTATACACCTGGACATCATCAGGAGAGGACTCTTTAAAGTAGAGACACTACATACCTAGATATACACCTGAACATCAGCAGGAGAGGACTCTTTAAAGTAGAGACACTACATACTGATATACACCTGAACATCAGCAGGAGAGGACTCTTTAAAGTAGAGACACTACATACTGATATACACCTGAACATCAGCAGGAGAGGACTCTTTAAAGTAGAGACACTACATACTGATATACACCTGAACATCAGCGGGAGAGGACTCTTTAAAGTAGAGACACTACATACTGATATGCACCTGAATATGAGCAAAATAAGGCCCCTTTAAAATGAAGTATGAGGTAATCCATCTTACACCGCTCCTATGTTCTGATTGATGTCGAGGAAAAGTGGTATTGATTGATTTGAGTCTCTTTATCATATCTATTGATTGGGTTTCGGTTTGCCGTGGATTACAGCTTTGTGTCCCTGCAATCTCTTTCTGAGCCAAGAAAGACCAAATGTCGCTTGAGATAATGAAATATGAGGATCTATTGAATTGGAAAAATAAACGCTCTCGAAAATATTGCTCGACGAAGCTAAATTGACAAGCCTCTGAAATGATCATTATTTATGGGGAGGACAAGCCGGAGAAGGTGACATGGCTCATCCCGTTCAGCATTTTTCATACAACGAGAGACTGCACACTGTCTGGCTAGAGGAAAGAGTGCACGTGGCAATATGCGTAAAGAAAGCAGGATCAATAACCAATCTAGGGAGCAGAGAGGGTCAGTTTGAACACGGTGAGGTTATCATATACTGCACCTCAACACACATAATGGAGGCCCGTGTGTGTGCATCAGGATACAGCGAGATGGTATACAAAGTGAATATGGGTTGCACAAGAGAAACCACACAGAGGTTCATTACACCTGAAGCAGATAACCTTTCATACACATCAACAAACACACCACTGCTCTTAGCGATCAATGCTTCTTCTCCAGTTCGTATAGCATTTACCTCTATAGAACGTTTTAACAGACACCTCAGAAGATCTAACAAAGTTTACTGAATAAGTATACATTGGATACGGCTGCCAAGATAATTTAAAGTCTATGTTTTCTGTGTTATTGAGAAACTAAAGGGTGGGTTAGGGTTAGGGTTAGAAAACAATGCATCTCCATTGATTTTATGCGGTCTTATCTTCTGTAACTGAAATGTAGTTTCATGCAATTTCTCTCCTGGTGTCTTTTTTCCTATATGTTTTAGACGTCAACAATGATATCCACTGTGACTGCTGGGAGATTTAAAATGCATCTACGATGTCAGAATTCAATAATATATGTATTGAACCCAATAAAAAAGATCACAAACAATGAAAAACATGAGGTTTTGGGAAATTCTTCATACCATATGCCATACATTAAAAAAATATGAGCAAGAAATGAATTTAGAAGAGAAACGACCTAAATCTGATTGTGTCCTGTTGAAGCAGGCTGGGTGAAAACATTCACACATTTGCAAATAAATGCAAATCTTGAATTACCCATGCAGAGCCGCATGTTGTGATGTTGATGACCCACATTAATGGGATCTCTTGTGTGGTGTATCAGACATTACTTCACTTTACATTACTGTACCATCAGTTATCAGCCATGGCCTGGTTTGGCCCCCCACTGAGTCCAGCTGTAAACTGTATGTGTCTTTTCCAACATCACTGCAGGACGAATACTGAAACAAAGAGGAATCTCCATGAACATGACCACCAATGCTATTTCAGGCTCAAATGTCATGGCTTCAAACAGCGCCCTCCATTATATGTCTAGTGAATTCCTGAACTTATAAGCTTATTGCTGTGTATCTCTCTGTGTTAGATATAAGCTGCTGATTACCTTTTACTTAAAAGCTTTACTTTCTGAAAAGGTGATAATACTTTTTTTTTTTTTATTATTTATATATTTATTTGACAGGGACAGTGCACATTGATTGACATTTCTCTAAATGCGCCAGAGTTAGCCAACAGGCTATTTTTCTTCTGTAGTCCCTGGACAGATGTTGAAAGTCATCCTAAAAACAAAAATTCATTTAAAAAAAAAAAAGCACCCTGAGCCTAGCTTAACTTTAAACTATACTTAAGCCTATACAAATAACAATATACATACGTGGAGCCACATGAGCGCTCATGTTTTAAACAATAATAAAATCCACAGTGACGCTTTGGAGCTTGTGGATACAACTGACTATACATTATGAATATACAACCTCACTAGAACAAACCAGAGACAGGTTCAACAACAAGTAATACAGTTCCCCAAAGCAGACACACAGACACCCCCCCCCACACACACACACACACACAGACACCCCCACACACACACACAGAGACACCCCCAC